GTTAGTTTCAAGCTGCCTGGCTGCCGGCCGCCATCTTGGCTGGCAGTTAATTTGCATATCGCCCTGATTAGCCAATGGGAAGGGTAGCGGTCGTACGCCAATTACCATGTTTCTCTTTTATTAGATAGGAGGATTAGTATAGATATTCATGGTGAAGACAGATTTTCTCTAATTTTGTTGTAATAGCTGTTAAAACAAATATCTGAAAGTATTGACTTTAAAACTATTCCCTTTAAACTTATTTTTTTTGTTACATTTAAAAATTTACTCAAATTATCACATGATTTTTTTCTTTTACATCTGCAGAATTTATTTCAACAGCAACAACAGATTTTTCAACAATCTAGACTTGGTCAGAGCCAGAGACTGAAAACAATTAAACAGTTATATGAACAATTCAAAAAGGTCTGTTGTATTTGGTAACATAGCATATTCTTATAAAGCAATTTATGTTGGAAGTAGAATATATTTTTTTTCTAAGTTTAAGGAAAAACATTTTGCTTATGCATTTAAAATTCTTAACTATTCATTTTAAATTCATTGTTTTTTATTTAAGTACTAATGTATTCTACTTTCAGAGTCTAATGTTTTTGTGGCTATTATTCAAAATAGAAAATGGTAAATTGGGAATTTTACCAAAAAATATACATATTGTGCATAAGATTTGTACATAATATAAGCACTGTGATAGTTCTCGGTTCAACTGAAAATAGAAAGTTCATAAATCATTTCTTGGTAGATTTCCAGTCTTTTTTTTTTAGTATGTTCAATATTTAAACCTTAACAGTTCATTAACCCACTGTTTCAAGCAAAGTACACCTGTAATACTATTTGATTCATGTCTGGCACCTTTTAATCCTAGTGGGCATTCTGGTTTTGATGCATCACTTAGAATATTTTTATTAAGAACAAATAATGTACACTACTTGAATTTTTTAAAGTTCCTACTTTTGAAAATTAATTGCACAAGTTTAGAACCTGAGATTAAAAATGATGATTTATAACTAAACTAGTTTTTTTATGTTTTAGAGTATGGAGGACTTGGAGAAGAATAGTGATACTCTAGTTACTGATGCACAAAATGAACTTAAAAATGAAATGGCTATGTTGCAAAAACAAATTATGATGGATACTGTAAGTTATGATGTTAAAATTGAAAAGTAAGGATTAATATGTTTTAAGCATTGAAATATTTTATTTGTTGAAATATGGTTAACACTTATCTAAAAATTAAACAAATGTTTAATATCTCCTTTCATGAACAGCAGCAGCAGGAGATGGCAATTGTTCGAAAGTCTCTTCAATCCATGTTATTCTGATGACTCTTTGAAGGGAGAACTTGAACCTAAGTAATATGATACAATGATAACATTAGCTAAGAGGCATATACATTTTTAGAGTGGCTTAAAAATTGTATTTTCAAATATTACATTGTGTTACTCATTAGCTTAAGTGCAAGCCTCTTCTTTGTTAACCTCCAAATAAAATGTAAACAGTTATGTGAGTAGCAGCAATTCCTAAATTGTATGTATAAGCTTTCTGCCTTTTAATAGTAATAGTGAATTTTTCTGACACTTGTCAATTAACTTAATAATAAAGATGATCTAATTTCAAGTTTTGACTTCAGTGTATCTGTATCAGTCCCCAAAAGTAGAAAGTATAAGTATTGTAGGTTACATTGTTATTCTTTAAGAAAAAAAAATCTATTTTTATATGTACATCCTTTTGTATAAAGTCATTAAGTTACATAGCCAATTCCAATGATAAGATTTCAAAAGAAAATCTATTGACTTATAAAATGTATTAAAAGCAACTTAAATTTGTGTTGTGGAATAAAACGACTAAAAACCATTAAGATGATTGAACAAGATATAAATACAGATTTTAAAATACAGATTTGTGAATGTCATTTCCACAAAGACAACAAAATGCCATTTAATTGAGCTTGGTCTAAAATTAAATGGCACATACTTGTAGTACTGATTAAATCTATGGAAGTTTGATTTTACATTCATTTCCAAACTTGAACAGTTAATTCATATACCTTGTCTTTTAAAATGTGTATTTTAAAAACAAAATATATGAAACACTTGATTTAATAAAGAAATTGTTCCACCATTTAAGTATCAGCTAAACTTACTATTTTTTTGCTCAAACTGCTTTCATTGATTCATTCAAAACAAAAAATATCCCCTCCCCAAACATGCCCATTAGAAGTGATTTTCTCCTGTTTTACCATGTTTTAAATTCTAATCCTCCCTAACCCCATAACCCACTCTTATCTTACTTTTAAGGTTTTCAAAGTTTTAAAAAACAAATCCATGGGAATTCTCTTTTTCTGTGATAACTTAAATAGGAAGAAATTAGTCCACCATTAACAATAGTCTACCTGACATTAGGGGGACAATTTGCTTCCTAAATTTTTACATTTTGTAGAGGAGTTCCCTTGTAAGCCAAAGTATATTTTGGAATATAAATCTTAGGTACTACTAAAATGTCTAAGAAGGTCCTTATTTGAGTTTACCAAGTGTTTTCTGTGTCCTTAATTCACGTAAGTATATAGTTTTTCCTTTTAAGGAATATCAACTTCCACTTTTTTCACTGTCTTTTTCTTGCTTAAGATTTAGTACATGTTCATTACTCCTTTTTTTTTCTTATTTTATCATATGGCTTATGGTCTACAGAACTGTGGGATAAAATTAAAAGTAGGATAAGAGGGGAGGGAGTCTAAGGATTTGGATCACCAAGGAGCCTGGTGATAGTTCTATTATTCATAATGAACACTATAAAATACTTTGAAATGAGAGTAGAAAGATAAGAATCAGTACATAGTGCACTTAGTGGTTGAGTAACTGATACTTATTTTATCCCCCTTTTACCTCAAATGAAATGTGTAGTTGTAGTAACTTTGGCTAGTATTCTAAAGGGAAGATATTTTTGCCATGTTTTCATAAATTACTAATTTTCTTATGTCAACTGTATTTTAAGTACTATTTTACTTTTCATAAAAGGATGTTTAATGCCCATCTTTTTGTGACAATGAAATGTTAACTCAGAATATCAAGAAACAAGTTGCCCTCACTATAAAGATTCATTTGTTTTTCTGAACTAATAAGACAAATAGCTTTTACTTAATACAAATTATAAAAATTCCAATAGCCCTTTTAAATTCTAGTTGGTATACTAAAGCATGTATTTCATTTTATATGATAGTGGTTAACATGCCTCTTTTGAAAATGACTAATAAAAAATCATAAATCATTCTCAGTAAATACAGTATTATAATCCATGTACTTATGCAGTATTATGAACACATCAATTTTTAGCAAAGTAGTATCATCCTCAACATGGCTAAAATCCTTTCAGTTCTGAATTTATTTTCTTTTTTATGTATATTTTATTGATCTTTCTACAGAGAGGAAGGGAGAGGGACAGACAGTGAGAAACATCGATGAGAGAGAAACATCGATCAGCTGCCTCCAGCACACCTCCTACTGGGGATGTGCCCGCAACCAAGGTACATGCCCTTGACCAGAATCGAACCTGGGGCCCTTCAGTCCACAGGCCGACGCTCTATCCACTGAGCCAAACTGGCCAGGGCCAGTTCTGAATTTTTATGTAATCATTTGGCAATGAAAATCCTGGGTATAAGAATTTCTGAGACAGATACTGCTATTTAGAACTATAGTGGTTCACTTTCTTGTACCTAGAAAATTTAAATTTCTTTCTTTAGTTTTATTTCTAATTTATAGATTTGTATTACTCTGGTAATCTGTTATAAAAAATGTTGATACACAATGAGGACTTCACAACTAAAACAGGCATAATGGAATTTACAGGACTTAATGTTTTATATTCAAATATAACCTTATTTGATAGTATACTAGCCTCCTGCAAAAGGGGATTTCCTTCACTCCTAGGTTCCCCTAACTGCTTCTCCTTTTTTCCTTGGGTTATTAGTCAATATGCTTGTGAACCTGTTCAGGTGCTGGATGACATGAAATCTTGAAGATACTTAGATGAAGGTGTCTTGAAATTTGCAGGCACAAAGCACTAAAGTACATAATCATATCAAATGAAGAAATGACCTTTAGAGCAAAAAAGAAAATATAAGAGATTATGGTCTATCCCTTTTGAAGCAGCAGCTACTTTTCTGCCTGAACACCCTCCACCCCATCTCGAAATTAACTGAAAATTCAACAAAAATACATTTTAGAATATTTCAATATACAGTGGGGCCTTGACTTACGAGTTTAATTCGTTCCGAGACGGAGCTCATCAAGGAGCTCGTTAACTCAAATTACTCTGTCAACTTAAAGCAAAAAATCGGCCGAGAGACAGCTGGTTTCTCAAAAAACTCGTTAGTCGGGACACTCGTAAGTCAAGGCCCCACTGTATTTCATATTTGAACCTCATATAGTCCTCTGGAACATGCAAGGTATTTCACAATTATAGAATCAGAGGCACAGTGGTAAAAGCCTCGACTAAAACACAAAACCTGGAAAGTAATAGAATGGAAGTCTTCACATTCTTTCAATTATCTGCTGTGCTACAAATTTCTACTAGAAGAGGCTATCAGTTATAACAAAACCATTCCATCATAGAGGTTTCTTACTCCTTTAAGATTAGCTGTAAGAAAGTAAAGGCCTATGGAAGTGAGGTAGATGTCCCTTGTGTGGACCAAGGGGGACAAAAAGGCCTGGAAAAGATACCATAGTTAAGGGGAGGCATACACAAAATTGTGTTGTATAAAAAAATCTAGGAAAGCACACTATTTAAAAACTTTCCCAGAGACCAGAGGCAGATGCTTCCTTTCAGAAATAGGAGCCTCACAACTCTGTTGGTATAAAGGGAATTCTCACCCATGAGAGGTAAATCCCCCCATCATTTACTTGAAATGCTCTGTGTGATCCTTTTCTCTCTGAAGCAAGAACCTTTCCCCTAAGGATGCCAAAGGGCACAAGTGTTTTGAATTTGACTTCCTCGCCATAATCACTATCAGTGTAAACCAGGCCAACTCACTCATTACAAAATAGGTACTTGAGTTTTTAACCTGATATTTTAATCATGTTAAACAATTCCATTTGGTAATATTTAAGTTCATTAACAGAAACCCTACATTGAATTTTCAGATATTTTGAATAACCATCCGGTTCTTAAATGTATACTGTTGTGGAGCTCTAAAAGTATTTAAAGTGGACAGCAAATTAAAGGAAATTATTCTGATCTCACCACCATTTAGAAGAATAGAAAACCTTTGAATGGACCATGGATGGATATTATTAATTTACTCCAGAACCTAGTATAAAGGATCATCAGATGTTGTACCCCACACAGAACAGATATAGTTTTTTAGTGCCTAAATCTAACAAATAGGGTAGTTGATTCAAATTATCAAAAGATTCACTGCAGGGCTTCTTTCAGCACACTTTAATATGTGTTTATATATCGCTAAAAATTTGGTGAAGGCAAGTGAGGTCCAGAGGTAGGGGAAAATATAGCAGAATTGTTGAAACCACCATAATTAAAGATCTACCATAAAGTTGTCTCAATAAAATAAGAAAATAATTCTTTTATCCATTTTTGTGATTAAGTTATTACCAACAATGATTTTCTTTTCCTTTGATGGCTAAAGCTTCTCTCTTAAGTACCATAATTCTATATAATCATTTTGGATAATAATATTTTGAACATATGTACTATCCATCACTTTCTTGAGGAGAATGTAATCAATAAGAGTTTAACCTTTGCTTGATGAGACATCATCATGAATATAAATCCCCGAGGGCCATATATAGGGTTACTTAATGCTACCAGAAAATGGTCCCCACGTCTGGTACTTGGTAATACTGTTTTGTTTCATTTCCTCAATATTGACAGTTTTTAAAACAATAAGTGCTCACCTTTGCTAACACGAACTCCATCTAATTTACCTGTAACCTGCCATAAGCTTGGATTAATTCTATTAAGCTTGATTAAGTAAAAGACACTAATAAGTGCTGTAGTCCTTTGGCAGAGTAAAGTCATTTTTGATATTTTTAAGTATAAATAGTATTTTAGGGAGAGGATAAAGATATAGTCTTTTTTTAAATATATTTTTATTGATTTCAGAAAGGAAGGGAGAGGGAGCGAGAGATAGAAACATCAATGATGAGAGAGAATCATTGATCGGCTGCCTCCTGCACACCACACCCCCAACTGGGGATCGAGCCCGCAACCCAGGCATGTGCCCTTGACTGGAATCAAACCTGGGACCCTTTGGTCCGCAGTCTGATGCTCTATCCACTGAGCCAAACCAGCTAGGGCAAGATATAGTTATTTTTAAGTAAACAGTTGTATTTTTAAAAATTTGGTTGGAAGCAAGATCTCCAGATATGTAGGCTGTTTCTATACTCAATAAAAAACAATTCACAGCTTTAAATAAGTAATTTTACAGAAACATACATGGTATAAACTAGTAGTAAGACTACCTGATATTTCACTGAAATGACTCTTAAGAATAGTGTTATCTGACATCTGTTAAAAATAAAATCTTAGCAGAAAAGAACTTACCATTGCTATCCATAGAACAACATATTCGTCTACAAAATTATTAAAGTACTGGTCTAAAAATAAAAGACCTGGGCCCAAAAAGGCAGTGTCTTGAAGATACAGTTCACTTTTAGTCATGTGAGCTATCTATAAAAAAGTAAACAAAATAATTTTACTATTAAATTTCAAACATTTTAGCTTTTACTTGCAGAACAGAATTGATTATAACTTTAATTCACTATTAAGACAAATAAGGATAAAGACACCATTTAATCTCACATTTGATATGGAAATACTGAATCTAAAATTTCTTAAATTCATGATTGATGACTGGGTAGCTTATTAAAGTTTCCAATATTTAAATTTCTTGATATCAGAAAGTTATAATTGATAATTATAATTAAACAAATAAAAGAACTTGCTATATAGTAAAGAATCTGTTTCCCTAAATATAACATTAACTCATTCACAATTTTACTTGGAGGACAAATACATACCTACATTTTCTGATGATAACACCACACACACACACACACACACACACACGCACACACACATAAAACACCCATTGTATGAAATAGTTTTTAGCTCTGAGTTTGAGGACCGAGTAGGTTATTATACCATAAATCATAAAATAATTTCTTACCACCAATTTTTGTGCTACTTTAGCAAAGACACATCCAAACATTAGGGTATAAAGACAAGGATGCTTTTCAAACACATTAGTTGCTGACTTTTTATAGATCATTATTGCCGGTATAATAATTATTCCTATGTGAAGTCCAGGTGACAAGACACTGGTGCCCTAATGGATAAAGCAGAAAATCAACATCACATTTTAACACTATTGATTACATTACATTTTCTGAGCATCTATTTTGTTTTAGGAACTAGAGACCTAAAGAACAGTGAAGTATACAGGCCTTGGCTGTGATTTTCAAACTTTCACAGAACTCTAGGGTTACAAAGATTCAGTGCTATAGGTGTTTGGTTCCAATTAGTAAACACTAAAAAATAATATAATTTATTCTATACCAACTTTTACTATGCTAAAGGTCATCAACTCTTGGACTGCGAAGTTAACATATTTTTGTCCAGAAATATCTGCCTCGCTCTCTCAAGACCAACTCCCCCCTCCCCTGCCTTTTTTAGTATTTAGACTGCAAATGCACTTTTATTAACACTAAAATCCAACCCATTACATTTTTATCTTTGTGAATCAGGATTCTCTCAGCATTGCTTATCCTAAACAAAATACTGAAATAAATTTGGTCTTAAAACTTACTAAATCTATAACCACCAATTTAAATGTGTTCATTAAAACAGACATATTCTTGTTTAAGTTTACATGTTATAACTTACTATAAAATTACAGTAACAATACTACAAAGCCATATATAATAAAACATTATACTATATAGTAATAACATAAAAATTTAGACTAATAAAATAGTGCTTTTATCTGTATTATGGTTCAGGAGATTTTATTCAAGAAAATCTGCTGCTAAAAATGTTGGAAAACCACCAGTTTAAGAGTTTGAAATCAACTACTTCTTAGCCCTAATATTTGATTTCTTATCTTCCTTCAAACAGTCCATCAATTATTTCTTAGTAAAACATTCTCTAAAGAGGACGCTGACGCTTACTAAATCATATTTTCTTTAGTAGGACTCATGTTCCAGCTAGTGCTCTATTTTGTCACCCATGGTCAAGCAACTAGTCTTCCTAAGCACCTCTGCACAGTACTGTACTGAGGTCAACAGACAAAACACCTCAAAAAACATCAAAATAATGTTTCCAAATATATCAGAACTTATGTATCTAAATGAGTTTTATACTTTGCTTTTGAATTATGTATATAAAATATATTTTAATAGATGGATAATTTACGAATTATGTGGATTCTTTTGAAATTGTCCTAAAGCCAATTCATGTCATTTAAGAGGATAAGACTTTTTAAAACGAAAAATGCTGTATTTTATGTTTATTACTCCTCTTATTTATTAGACCAAGCTCCAAATGACTTTTTTTTCTAAATCAAATCCACCTTTAAAGGACAGAAAAATTGAACTATAACACCAAAGAAATTAACGAGAATGACTTACAGCTTAAAGTAATTCTAAAAAGACATTCCAAAAACGTTTTTGATAAAAGATGGCATCATTGGAATAAGTATTCATATCCTTATGTTCAAGAACCTTGAAGATTACAATATGTTTTTTAAGAAACAGATACTGTGTTATATTTATTTAAAATCTTGGCAGGAGTTCTGACTGATAAAGCACCAGGTCTGTCCACTCAGTTTAGGAATTGAGGTTAAAATATTTTACCTTTTAAAATAGAATAGTTTAAAAATATCTATTTCAGTGAAATATACTTCTCTGGTAATAAGTACCCCATATGTGAAACAATGACCTCTGGCAGCTTTCCCGCCATTCAATCAGGACTCAGTCTCTACCTTTTCTCCTCTCCTCTCCTTATTAGTGGAAGGCACAAAATGCAAGACAACAAATGGCAACTCTTAATTATGTACAGTAATGAAACAGATGAGTAAATGAAATGCCAGGAATGTCTAGTCAGAAAAGCTACAAAGATGAAAAGTGCTTTATTATCAGTCTATACTGTTTTAAAAATGCTTTTGTATTATGTACCTAAAAAGAATCCTTTAAGATATTTCATTCCCTTCCCCATTCTTGAACTTCAGCATATGTTTAGTATCTCTGTAGCTGGTGATAAGTAAGTTTAGCATAAAATTAATGTCTTACTGCTATAGTGGATCCATTCTTGCCAACTCCACCATGGAGGATAACATGGAAATAATTTGAACAGGAAAAAATTGCTCCACCTACAACTCCAAGAACTGGGAAGATCTTCAATTTTACTTCTAGAATGGGTATCTTGAGGGGTAGAGGAAAGAAACATCATTAAGAAAATAGAATTTATTTTCCTATTAAATAGTAAAGAAACATTACAATATGGTCCTATACAATAAGTTATCATTTTTCTTTTACTCAAACCGTAACTTCTGGAAGGTAGCCTGAAGTGGTAACTTCTCTTTTAATGGTTTTATTCATTAAGTGAAAAACAAATCCACCAAATTCAGCTAAGTCTACTTACATAATTGTCATGAGACATTTAATCTCATAAACCTTCATCTGACTTAAATGAATGAAAAAGGATAGGTCACTTGGATTTAAATCACAGGAAAGTCAGACACCATAATCTGCATCATGAATGTGACAATCATGATGTGTGTCCATGCAAAAATTCTGCGTAGTTAAGATCCAGGATTAAATCTCTAGCAGTATATTTACCTGTTGGTCAAATGCTGTTCAAGAAAACTTCCAAAGGCAGCAAAGGATTTAAAAAACAGTAACAATGAATTGCCAAAAGCTGTAGGCTGTCGTGTTCTGAAAACAGACTTTGAAATATTGTCCCAAAATTTGTGTAAACTATAGATTAACAATTAATTTAGAAAATTTACATCTAAAATAAATAGCCTTATGGGTGAGAATAAGCAGATGTGCTTTCTTCCTATAGTATTGCCAAGAGTGGATGAAATGATTTTAAGATGAAATTACATTCTTCCCCATTAAAACTAGATCAGAATTCCAAATTTAAGACAACCACGTCTGACTTAATGACCAGAGATGCCTAACTGTTTCTAGGTCCACATGCACCTTCTTATGAGTACTGACAGAACAGCTACCACCTAAGTAAGACACATCACATTCCTCTACTATATTCTAGAAGCCTATAGTAGCATATGTTTGATGCTATTATTTAAACTTACATGAGAAGAAATATGAATGTCTCAGGGAATGTACCACTACTTGAAAATATGCTCAAAGTCTATTTCTGATCCTAGTGATATGAACTATAATTAGCCAATTCTGAAACTATTGTCTCAGAGAAGTCTCCTATTACTATTTTTAATACAATTACCTTTTAGAGCAATTTTAGGTTCACAGCAAAATTGTATGGAAAGTACAGAGTCTCCATAGGCCCCAGTGCCTCCAGCATTATATCATACAGAATAGTTTCACTGCCTTATAAAAATTCTGTACTTTGTCTACTTAACCCTCCTCCCCACAAACTCTGGCAATCACTAACCTTTTCACAATCTCCATCGTTTGCCTTTTCCCAAATGAGTCGTATAATACATAGCCTTTTCAGATTGGCTTTTTCTACTAAGTAATATACCGTTAAAGTTTCTCCACATCTTTTCTAGCTTGGTAGCTTTTTCTTTTTAATAGTAATTAATATTCCATTGTCTGGATGTACCATGGTTTATCCATTTACCTACTGAAGGACATCTTGGTTGCATCAATGTATTGGAAACTATAAATAAAGCTGCTATAAACATCTATGTTCAGGTTTCTGTGTGGATAAGTTTTCAACTTATTTGGATAAATCCCAAGGGATCTTATGGTAGGAGTATGTTTAGTTTTGTATCTTGTACTATTTTCACTGGATGTATAATGTAGCTTAGTGACTAAAAACATAGAATTTGGAATCAGTCTACTTAATTTCTAGCTCCAGATCTCACTAGCTACCTAGTATGTGTTCTTGGACAAATTAATCATTCTAAAACATTTATAAAACAGATTAATGATATCGATTTTATAGGATTGTTCTGAGGATCAGGTGAAGCAATGATAGTAGAATGTTTAGGAACATAATAAGTGTTGAATAAACGTTAGTTGTTGGCTATTGATATTATCCTTCTTCACTCTATGGGAATGAGATTGTGAGTCAGCCAGTGTTGTGGACTTAGGTTGTAGAGACACAATAATTTGTTTCTTTCTAGTTTCTCCCTTTGCAAAGCGTGAATGTATGACAGTGGCTTTGTGAGTGTCAGTTTTGATCAAAATACTGAGGTTACCAACCAAGCAGAAAATGAAAATACTCCTTAATATGGGAAACTTCACCTCATTATAGAGTATAAAAATGCAAATTAGCAACATTTCTTTCCTAATATTGAGGGACAAGTTTCAAATGTAAAATATTTTATTGAATTTATTCTTCTAAACATCTACTGTATAAGATAAATTTTGGCCTGGAAAAGGCAGTTCAACTAGTGTTTAAGTTTGTATTAGGGAAGTGGGGTTCTTTTTTTTCTCTGTGCTAATATATTCCTGCATAAAGGAAAATGTCATAAGGTATGTAGGATAAAAAAAAAATTATATAACAAAAGGAGAAAGTTAAGAAATGCAATGAATATTAAGTACAATGCCCAGGTTTTCTGAAGAAAATTAACAATGCAATATTTTTCCTAAATATTTAAAAAGTACTTAAAAGTAAATATAAACATTCAGTTTTACCGTATAGTCCCACATTGTTGCTCCTCCAATTGTAGACAACACAAAGATGATCATTAAACCTACTTGGATTTCATTTACATCCACTCTAAAGATGAAGGATAAAGAATAGAAAAAATATTTGTAAATAAAATTCCTGTATGTAAAGGTTAGTTAACCATATACTAAATATCAAAGGTGTAAAAATATCTATAGGCTTAGTTTATTTTTACCTTTAGTTCCATCACTGAATTATCAGATGACTACACGGTTAAGTAAAAAACACACCTATAGAACAACATGTGCTCACATACAGGTAAATATTAGTATATGCATGAAGAGGACAACTCTATGGCATATATAAAATTGCTAATAGTGGTTACCACTGAGGTTGCAGAAGATTTTTTACTTTTTATTTTATGTACTTCTGTAAAGTTTGAATTTTTTTTATAACAATTACTCTCATAATCAGAAATAATTACAAAATATAAAAACAACAGATAATTTAAGACAAATTCTTAAACACTTTCAAGTCAATTTAACTAAGAAGCAGGGAAAATTCCAATAGTTTTCCTTATTAAGTTACTAAGAGTTCCCTTTATTTCCCATCCAAATATTTTCCTCTTAATATATAAATATGCTTCAATTTTTTGTATAAAAAAACAACCCCTAGACCTAGCTGGTTTTGCTCAGTGGCTAGAGCGACGGCCTGCAGACTGAAGGATCCATGGTTCCGTTCCGGTGGAGGGCACATGCCTGGGTTGTGGGCTTGGTCCCCAGTAAGGGGGCGTGCAGGAGGCAGCTAATCGATGGCTCTCTCTCATCATTGATGTTTCTGTCTCTCCCTCTCCCTTCCTCTCTGAAATCAATAAAAATAATTTTAAAAAAACAACCCTAAAAACCAGCCAATACCAGTCTCTAATCGGTACCCCCTGAAGCTATCGACTCCTCTCTTCTTTGCTCCATAAACAGGTTAACTGAAAAGTAGTACATTTCTAATTTCCTCCTGTCCTCAGAGTTGCTGCTTAATCCACTCTAATCTGATTTTTGGCGCCATTGTACTAAAATTACTTAATGTAAACAGTGTCTTTCAATTTGCCAAACTAAGGAATACATTTCAGTTATTATCTTGCATAACCTCTCTACAATACTGAAAATGCTGATCATTCCCTCTTTCTTGAAATGCTTTGCTATGGTTTTATTTATTCCATTCTCTTTCCTGATTCTCCTAACTTGCTGGAAGCTTTTCTCAGGCTCCTTCTTAGACTGCTTCTTCTTCCACATCTTAAATGCTATTACTTCCAGAATTCCATTTTTTCTCCTTTTAGAGTCTCTGAACAATTCTCTCTGTACTTAAGACTATCATCTATATGCTAATCACCTCTAAATCCCCATCTTCTTTTCTGAGCTCCAGATTTTTATATCTGTCAGCCTACTTTACATCTCCACTTGGATGCCAGAGTCTCTAGATCAGTGGTTCTCAACCTTCCTGATGCCGCGACCCTTTAATACAATTCCTCATGCTGTGGTGACCCCCAACCATAAAATTATTTTCGTTGCTGCTTCATAACTGTCATTTTGCTACCGTTATGAATCGTAATATAAATATCTGATATACTATATGTGTTTTTCGATGGTCGCGACCCACAGGTTGAGAACCGCTGCTCTAGATGCTAAAGGAATACTTATTGCTCTGCAAATATAAAAAATATGAGGATTAGATGATAAAAAAACAACAACAAAAAAAACAGAAATGGAAGGAAACACAACTAAGTTATTTGGGGACAGGAGAAAAGGTGAACTGAATATTAAGGAAAATATGAATAATGACATGCAGGTATTAGTAAGATCAGTGGCCTCCAGGCTTCATGGAGAAATAATCAAGTTAGTTGGAAAAGGAAAACATAATAATAAAATGTTTGGTACTTTGTGGAGAAAAAGGGGGAAAAAACTAACATTTACTGAGCATTAACCATGAGTCCTTTTTCTATATTATTCAGGTCCCTTATTTTTCTCTTTCTCCTGTCTAATATAAGTTGGAGAAAAAGAGAAAATAAAGTTATTATCAAATATGTAATTATTTATAACCGGCAGATTTAAATTAAGATATAACATTTATGGATGCTCCAATAAGTTAAAAGATAATTTAAATTCCTTATTGAAGCTTTGTTCCCCTTATTACATATATATAAACTATAACAGACAGTGAAAATAAACTCAGTTATATTTTTAAATGCACAACTTAAAATACATACTTACTTTCCAAACCTCAATACACCCGAAACATAAGTCTGCCAATGAGCACAATAAAATAAGAACATCCCAATAAAACAGCAGAAAAACAACCAGTCATGATGAGTTCCTAAGCGCACAGCAATTGAAGCTCCAACTGCCATCAATACTGAAAGAAACAAGGTTTAAGAACCATTAAGAATTGGAAATAATTAATGAAAAAAAATTGCCATCTACTATTCAGCAATACAGAGTTTTAAGGAACATAATCTTGGCATTAGAATACAGTACACTAAACAAAACAAACACTTTAAGATACTTTTAAAATACACTGTGTAAAAATTGCTCCCCTAGGTACACCTATCCAAAAAAAATAAACCATTCAAACAGCTCATTTCGTGTTTAAGTCATTATTAAAAAAACAAACACAACTTTAGTTAATTTACCCGTGGAAAGAGAGTCACAACCATGGTCAAAAAGTTCTCCTAAAGGAGAACAAGAATTTGTTCTTCTGGCTTGTTTCCCATCAATAGCATCCAGTGACTGGTAGATAAAGAGCCCGAGTGCACATAATAGATATGTCCAGTATGGTGCCTAAAAATAAATGTAAATAATAAAGACTATTATAATAAAACTAGAGGCCCAGTGCATGAATTTGTGCACAGATGGGGTCCGGCCGGCCCGGCCCCAATCGGGGCTGATCAGGGCCAGGCCGGCTGGGGGAAGGGGCCGTGGGCGATTGGCTTGTGGGTCCCACCACTGATTGGGGTAGGGGGGCAATTGGGGGTGAGACCGGCCGTGGGGAGGGGCTGTGGGTGATGGGCCAGCCGGCCCCACCCCCGAATGAGGTGGGAGGTGCCAATGGGGGTTAGCAGCCGGGGGAGGGGCTGTGGGAGGTTGGCCAGCCAGCCCTGCTCCTGATCAGGGTGGGGGGGCCGATCTGGGGTGGGACTGGGTGGAGGGTGGGGCTATGGGCCAATCAGGGTGGTGGGGGTGGGGATGGCCAGGGGGAGGGGCTGCAGGAGGTTGGCATCACAGCAACCGATCATCAGTTGTTCTGGTCATTACAGACGCTGGCTTTTTATATATATATAGATAATAATGAGTGACAGTAAGCTAGCTTCTGTTTGACAATAGCTCAATCTAAGCCAATCAACACATTTTCTTGTGTTCATATTTAATATCACCTCTGTATGTTATAAAGAAGATTCATAACCTTCTTTCTACAGGTAAAAATGAAACTGAGCAATCAAATGAGTTGCTCTAAGTCATCTGGGTAGAAGGTCTCAGAAGCCCACATTGTGAGAAGCACAAAGTTAAGTCACTGGGCAAGGATTAGGACTTGATTTTGATTCTTTCAATACTATACATATATGGCACTAGATTTGACATTATTCAAACAAAGATGGATTACAGACCCCTGCTTCTATTCAGGATGGAGTATCAGGGGATTGGATTTACTCTCCAACCTCATAAAACAAGAAAAGCAATAAAATAAATGAAACACCAGTTTTCAGACATTGCAGGCAATACAGGATGTGATCCCTGTAGAAGGGAAACAAATGAGGTGAGCCTATGACTGCAACAGCTTATGGCCTAGAGGCAGTTTCTAGGCCATAGGAAAGAAATGGGGGACCTGAACAGTGCCCAGTGATCTTGCTGTGTTGAAGAGAAACATAGCATAGTTTAGGAAGGCTAAGGCAGCTAGAATTTGTGAGGCAGAGCACGGGAGAAGAGGAAGGTGCTCAGGTGATTACGTATAAGGCATTTAGAAAAGTACCTGGCATATAGAAATGAGGCAAGATAGTAAGCTAAAAAAATTCCTTGGCAAGTGGAATGGGGAAGCCAAGACAGATAGCTGAACAAACTGGCGGAGCAATTTACAGCTACATACAGGTGGTCACCTCCCTAGAGATAACATCTAGGCCTCAGTTGTATTTCAGCTCCAGGCCCAGAAAAGCTGCAAAAGGAGGTGGTCGAAGTCAGGAGCAGCTGCAATGACCAATGACGCCCTGCCCTGGTGCTGACCAATCACCAGACCCTGAAAGAGGACATCTGGAAAACTGATGAATATGCTGCTGAAACCTTCCCTGAGACCTCCCCTAAGATTCCCAAAGGCAAAAGAGAGAAGAAAGCCCTTAAGACAAAGGACCCAGCTCAAGCTCTCCCTCCTAGGAGCACGCATCACATTTCTTCCCCCTCAGGCAAGTATCTCCTAAACGCAAAGGCTCCCCAGGAGACTTGCAACCAGGGGAGCAGTGGTCAGGAGCAGCTTGTCCCCAGCTTACCCCCAAATCTGTCTCCAAGGCTTTCTCTTCTCTTTTGACTTCTCAGTGAGCCAAAGCAGCCCTGCTTCAGCTCATTTGTTTCCAGCCTAGGCTCTCCTGTTGTTTCTTCTATGCTAAGCCCATCATTATTTTACTGTCCCCAGCTTTAACACTAGATTGCCCAAGGAAGTCATTTTGACTGCTTGGGGGGAAATTATGACTCTTATTATTGAATGGAGTAAATTTCTTATATGACCAGTTGGGCTGTGTATTGAAATAAGTTTTCTTTTTTTTTTTTCGATTACCGTCACATGCTAACCTAAAAGTACATGATAAATTGTCGATACTGGATAAGTTGCAGTTGCTCAATAAGCTAAACTAGTCCTTGTTATTCGAATCTTTATGCAGTGATACTTGTTCTAATAAGTTGTTTATCTTATTTCTTTTGCACCCTAAATACATGAAAGAAATGTAGAATAGAAGTGAGTTATTGGAAAAGCTAAGGAACATAAGTGAAGAGTGCTCCAATATTATTCTTTCACAATGCAGTCATTTTGACTGCTTGGGGGGAAATTATGACTCTTATTATTGAATGGAGTAAATTTCTTATATGACCAGTTGGGCTGTGTATTGAAATAAGTTTTCTTTTTTTTTTTTCGATTACCGTCACATGCTAACCTAAAAGTACATGATAAATTGTCGATACTGGATAAGTTGCAGTTGCTCAATAAGCTAAACTAGTCCTTGTTATTCGAATCTTTATGCAGTGATACTTGTTCTAATAAGTTGTTTATCTTATTTCTTTTGCACCCTAAATACATGAAAGAAATGTAGAATAGAAGTGAGTTATTGGAAAAGCTAAGGAACATAAGTGAAGAGTGCTCCAATATTATTCTTTCACAATGCAGTCATTTTGACTGCTTGGGGGGAAATTATGACTCTTATTATTGAATGGAGTAAATTTCTTATATGACCAGTTGGGCTGTGTATTGAAATAAGTTTTCTTTTTTTTTTTTCGATTACCGTCACATGCTAACCTAAAAGTACATGATAAATTGTCGATACTGGATAAGTTGCAGTTGCTCAATAAGCTAAACTAGTCCTTGTTATTCGAATCTTTATGCAGTGATACTTGTTCTAATAAGTTGTTTATCTTATTTCTTTTGCACCCTAAATACATGAAAGAAATGTAGAATAGAAGTGAGTTATTGGAAAAGCTAAGGAACATAAGTGAAGAGTGCTCCAATATTATTCTTTCACAATGCAGTCATTTTGACTGCTTGGGGGGAAATTATGACTCTTATTATTGAATGGAGTAAATTTCTTATATGACCAGTTGGGCTGTGTATTGAAATAAGTTTTCTTTTTTTTTTTTCGATTACCGTCACATGCTAACCTAAAAGTACATGATAAATTGTCGATACTGGATAAGTTGCAGTTGCTCAATAAGCTAAACTAGTCCTTGTTATTCGAATCTTTATGCAGTGATACTTGTTCTAATAAGTTGTTTATCTTATTTCTTTTGCACCCTAAATACATGAAAGAAATGTAGAATAGAAGTGAGTTATTGGAAAAGCTAAGGAACATAAGTGAAGAGTGCTCCAATATTATTCTTTCACAATGCAGTCATTTTGACTGCTTGGGGGGAAATTATGACTCTTATTATTGAATTGAGTAAATTTCTTATATGACCAGTTGGGCTGTGTATTGAAATAAGTTTTCTTTTTTTTTTTTTGCTCCAATATTATTCTTTCACAATGCAGTCATTTTGACTGCTTTTGGGCAATATAGGTATATACTAAATTTCGGTCTTTCTAGTGTTAATAAACATACCCTCATAGTCACCTGGACTCATATTGTGAAATCTTTTCTGCACAAAGAACCCACACACTACCAGCTGGCCCTAGGCAGACTTTCCCAGGGCCAGGTTCCCTGACCGGTATCAGAAGGAGCTCAGTAAATTTTTTTAAAAATATATTTTATTGATTTTCCACAGAGAGGAAGGGAGAGGGAGAGAGAGCTAGAAACATCGATGAGAAACATCAATCAGCTGCCTCCTGCACACTCCCCACTGGGGATGTGCCCGCAACCAAGGTACATGCCCTTGACCGGAATCGAACCTGGGAACCTTGAGTCCGCAGGCCAACACTCTATCCACTGAGCCAAACCTGTTAAAGCAGGAGCTCAGTAAATTTTAATTATTTATTATAACTGTTATTACTGGTACTACCTGCATAAGATAATTTTAGGTGCGTCACGGGTAAATTTTTCATTTCAATATTTACATCTTTATTTTAGTGTATTTTGGAAAAATTTAATGTGGTTATTAAAAGGCTTAGAATGAGCCTAAGTCTTTAAAAAATGAAAGTTTATGAAAGAAAAATAGTAAATAAAAAATAGTATAGGAAATACACAAAAAGCAAATCTTCCCAAATTAAAATTTAGTAAATACTGGAACTATACAAGGCTCATTTATACGTATGAATTTCTAGACTTAAAATAAAAAGCCTCTTGGCTTTAAATAACCTTGGATATAGTTGACAGATATACAAGATATTACATAACCAGTAACGACTGGGACATTTCAATGATCCAAAACGTCAACTGACTACTCTCTCCATAAAAATAGAAACTGCATTTGTAACAGGGAGAAAGAAAACTGTTAAGACAGATCTTGCATGTGTGAAAAAATGTCATACTGGTGTGGTGTCAAAGGAGGACTATGATCCTAGTGGAGTGATTCTAGTGATTGTTTTTGGGGTTTCTAACAGACTGCCTGTCTAACCCGTATCATGTGCCTGTGATACAGTTAAGACGTTCACCTGCGCTGGATGGGGTACTTCCTTGTTTACCGAGGGAGGCTCCCGCAGGATGCCTGGGAGGCTCCCGAGGCCTTGGGTGTCAGGAAGGGTAACCCTGTTCTCAAGCCACTCAGGAAGGGCCCTGGGGGCTCACTGGTTTCAACAGGGCTCTTTGGCCTCCGCTCTGGTGAGGGGCCAGCATTTGAGAAGGGCACACCCATTCCCAGGAAGGGAGGCAGGTTCCAGCTGGGGAGGGAAACCAGTCAGAGATGCAGTTGTTCACCAGCACTTCTGGGCTACAGGGGCTTTTCCTGTACTCTGAGAGGTAGGCTTCTTTTTCTATTTTGTGTGAAAAGTCATTTTTTAAAAAACTCCCACCTCTAGTAATTACTAGAGTTCTTGTTGAAAATGCCAGATTGCCATAGTGCTAAGGGGAACAGGAAGGAAGAGGGGTATGAAGAGAACCCCTGGGGTCAGATCTATCATCAAAGTCAACTGTACCTGGTGCTCTAACACCTGCCCGGTTTTAT